CTTTATGATCTTGATCTCTCTCTTGTGTCAGTTTTTCCAGATGGAGGTCAGGGTGATGTTTGCAGGAGAACAGGGGAACCAGGCTTCATCTTAAAAAACCTACATACATTTTATTGATCCACCTGTTGGTTCTGTGGAAATTAATATTTGAGTGGACAGTGTTGGAGAAGAAGTGATTCTGACATTCAATACACCGAAACAGTTATAAGGGCTGTTAGATATGTTGTGCTGTGAACATGTCTGGGTTGCTTCAGTGAACTGTATCAGTCTCTGCAGTAGCTTCCAGCTGCAGCAGTCAGTTCAGTTTCTGTTCAGTCTGACTGAGGGAGGTTTTTGTACGACGCTTTTTCACTGTGTGAACAACAACTGACTGTTGATATAATGATAACTCTGACAGTAGTAAACTCCTGTATCTTCAGCCTGGACTCCACTGATGGTCAGAGTGAAGTCAATTCCATTCCCTGCTCCACTTCCACTGAATCTGGAGGAGATTCCAGATTCTCTGCTTGATGTTCTGTAGATCAGAGGTTTAGGAGCTTCTCCAGTTTTCTGATGGTACCAGGCCAGGAAGTATTGTGCACCAGAGTACTGAGCAACTTGTGTACTGGCTTTACATTCAATAGAAACAGTTTGTCCCGGTTGGACTGATTTGGCTGCTGGCTGAGTCACAACAACATTCTGTCCAACAGACCCTGAGGAGAGAGAAGAAACAATGGACATGAGATGGTGAGGTGAAACTCAGCTACACTCCAAATGATTTTCACAGCACAGAAAACTGATTTTCCTCACCCTGAGTGAAGCAGAGGAGAGTCCAGATGAGGACGGAGATCAAAGTCATGTTTTTGATGAGGAGGATTTCTGTGTCTTCTGTTGTCATGAAGGACAGCTGTCAGTCATCCAGTGTTCAACTCTCAGGACTATAAACTCTCCCAGAGCACTGGAGCATGGTGCTGCTGATGCAAAGTGGCTCTCTATGGAAATGCTCTGACTGACTCCAACAGGGACTTGGATTACTCTGATGATGCTGTTTCTCAATGGATCAATGACTTTATCAGAGTATTGATTAACAATGTATCAGTGATCATTTTAATGTGGAATGGGCTTGATGACTGCACAATGATTTTCTTTCAGAACGTCTTCTGTCTGCTTTAATTTAATGCTAGAGAGATCAATGTTACTTTCAGACATATGGAACAATAAATATGTAAAAATGTGATTCATTCTGAACAATTGTGGCACTGTTTGATAAATAGAACATGAAATAGTTCATTCTTTTAAAAACAGGAACTGTTGATGTTGACTTTGTTGTGTTCAAAGTCAGAGAGCCGTGTCTCTCTACAGTGAGAGGTTTTTGTACGACGACTCAATCAGTTTGTATCACTGTGGTACACATTCGGTGGAGGAACCAGACTGGAGGTTAACTGTAAGTACTTTTAACTCCTTGAATGAGACACATTTTATGTGTTTTATAATTGAATTTCATAGCTGTAGACCTTACTAAAATATTTTGTTGAATATTTGAAATTCAATGTATTTACAGCAATTCTTGAAGGTTTCACAGTGTTGTTAACTGGACTAAATTCCACTCCCATTAATAATCTGGTTGCACAAAAACTTTGGTTCCCTACATTCTTATTGATTCATTGTAGAATTCATTGAATGAAATTTAAGTTTTGACATTTCTGCATTTCTGACAATCATTTTTAGTTCAGGGTTAGATCACTGTGGGTATGACTCAGTCTTTCTCCAAGACTAATGATTTAAAGCCATTCTAGGTATTTCTTTTGAGAATTGTATGAGTTTGAAAACGTAGTTCAGCAGTTAAAAATATTCATTTGAAAGTATCAGTAATGAAGTCTGACTGATCAGTGATGACTCCTGCTTACATGGACACATCTCATCATGAATCAGATTTGGACTTGAGACAAGAAATGTTTAAAATAAAAAATGAAAGAATAAAAGACTCACAATCTTCAGCTCATGAGGAATGTTTTGAACTGTATAAGTCTGATTGTTTAATTTAAAGTTAGTTGCAGTAAAAGAGTGCCAGTTTTAATGTTTTATCTTTAATACTGAAACCTGTCTGTTGCCATGGTTCAGCAGTGATGCCTGTCTGTTGCCATGGTTACTGGGTTCAGAGAGGGAAGTGAAACACTGAAGACCAGTTTCATCCAATCTGAGGAAGACCAACAGAAGCAGCAGCCTCCTCTGCTGCAACCAACAGGGTGGAGTTTATTTTCTCTCTGTATGAACTTTCTTCATATTGTCTCTCTGTCTCCTCCTCCAGTGGGTCGAGTCCTCCCCACCCTGACGGTGCTGCCCCCCTCCAGTGAGGAGCTGCAGCAGGGGAAGGCCACGCTCATGTGCCTGGCCAACAAGGGCTTCCCCTCAGACTGGAGTCTGTCCTGGAAGGTGGACGGCAGCAGCAGCAGCAGCAGCAGCAGCTGGGAGCAGAGCAGGAGCCCCGGGGTGCTGAAGGACGGCCACTACAGCTGGAGCAGCACCCTGAGGCTCTCTGCAGACCAGTGGAGGAAGGTGGGCTCTGTGACCTGTGAGGCCACCCAGGGCTCCCAGACTCCGCTCTCAGAGACACTGAGGAGAGACCAGTGTTCCCAGTCCTGACCTGACTCACTGGGACTCTGCTACTGGTTTTACTCTGCTACTGCTCTCACTGTGCACTCTGTAACTATCTCTCTCTTTCATTTGACATGTTTCAGTCAGAATATTTACTAGCTTGTTGCAGTGTTTCAATATTATTTCACTGTTTCCAGATAATAAAGACGTGTTCATCAAATCACTTGTTTTCATCTTTATTATTATCAAAGTGTCTTAATGATTTTCTCTTCATGGTGTCAGTGACTGGATTACATCCAGAGAACGATGTTTAAACTTCTTCATAATGTTTAAGATAATGTAATGTACAGCCATATATACTGTATATCAAAAGAGTTTATACACTCCGATAAAACTCCTCATTATTGTTTGATTAGTACAAACCAGTGATGGGGGTAGTATAAGTCCATAATATGTTGTCATAATCAATATGAATACCTTCATCGCTGTACAACTGTTTCTGATATAATCATTACAGATTTGTCTGTAATAATAAACCTTTGGAACAATAAATAAATCATCCAATCATCTCTTATTACTGAAGGGTCTTAATGGTAAGGACTCTATTATTGTTATTGCTTCAGCTGTATCTAAAGAACATGAAATCTTCTTTGAATGAAACCACATAACTATTTTCCAAATCTGATATAAAAATCACAATATCATCAGCATGAGTAGAAACATCATAAATATGATCTGTAGTTCTGCCCCTTGATCTATTCACACACTGTTTCTACTGAAGAACCACAAAGACAAACAAAAGAGTTGACATAGGGACAGAATTAAAATGTGAGTGATTTACTTCATTAATCCTGTTTTTGGATTCAGTTATAAACTAAATTTGTTTGCTGAGTACTAAACACACTAAATGACGTAAGTTATAGATATTTGTACGACACTAATAAACTACTAAATGCTTTTTTATTATTCATAATATCAATAAACATATGTTTCATATCATGATTTATATAATATGATGTAGATTATTGACATTTTTCAGGATTTAATGGAGAGATTCTCTCTAGAAATATTGTGTCTTTTAATGAAAGAGAAATGAATATTGCTTGTACACATTCTCACAAACAAAAGGTTGAATAAATATTCATAGTGTGTGAGTTGATTTTAATACTTTAACCAGTTATTACATAAACTGGGTAAACTGGGAATGTGTTTGGTGAGTTTGTTTGTGTCAAAGTCAGAGAGCGGTGTCTCTCTACAAAGAGTTTATGCACTCAGGGGAAACTCATAATCCATCTAAAAAATAACTACAAAGGCAAACAAAAGATTTGACAAAGGGACAGAATTTAAATGTCAGTGATAAACATACTTCATTATTCCTTTATGGTTGCAGTAATAACACACATGCGTTTGTTTGCTGGAATAGAAAACACACATATTTGGTAAATTATGTTATAGACATTTTTAGAGATCTGTTAAAGCTTTTTTTTTTACCAATGAGTATTTTTGAGTTTTAATCAAAAATGCTTGGATATAAAATAAAAAATATATCATATTTACCGTGTTATTATTCATACTCCACGATGAAAGAATTTAAATCATACCTTGACAGAGGTTACCTTTGATGTGCAGCAGCCTGTTTCAATAAAAGCATTAAAAGTATAGCTTTAAAGATATGGAATATTTAGCGTTTAAATGTTCAAAGTGAATTATTATTAATTATATTTTTTTAAGAAACCTCTGTTGTTTTAGTTTCAGTGCAGCTGTTGAGTCAGATCAGTTCCTCTCCAGCTGAGGGAGGTTTTTGTACGACGTTGTATCACTGTGTGAACGAGCTGTAACTCTGCTGACAGTAGTAAACTCCTGAATCTTCAGCCTGAACTCCACTGATGGTCAGAGTGAAGTCAGAATCAGATCCACTTCCACTGAAACGACTTGAAACTCCAGACTGACGAGTTGAAGTTGCATAAATCAGGAGATTAGGAACTTCTCCAGGTTTCTGAAGGTACCAGTAGAGGAAGCTATTACTAATATCTGAACTGGCTGTACATCTGATAGAGACAGTCTGTCCTGGAACAACAGACTGAGATCCAGGAGACTGAGTCAGGGTGATTTGTCCTGATGAACCTGAAAACATGAAACAGAGGAGAAGGGTTATTGAGACAAATCCAGCTTGGAGAAAGATGATCAACATCCAAACAGAAGAGTATCATTTCTTTAACATGGAGAATAGATGGAAGAAGGTAAATGCTGCTTGTTTCACTGTTTCTCCATCATAGCAGAACATCATTGTGGTGAACCTGGTTGCATCCTGAAGCAAAGTTTTCAGAAGAGAGTCTCACCCTGAACAAGGAGCCCCAGGGTGGCCAGCAGTAGAGTCAGTGACATCATCATTGTGCTGCCGGCGTGTCAGTGGCTCTGAAAGGCCTGGACAGCCACTGATCAACACTGGCCTCTTAAAGGCTGGGAGCAGAGAGGAAGGACACATATGCAAACACACAGAGTCAGTGAACTGTAGCTGTCCTCAACATATCATGCTGTTTCCTCCTCACTGCTGGGAGTACTGACTGTTTAAATCATCCTCACGCTGATTCACAGAAACTCACAATGCTGTATAATAATTTCATACTAATCTAAAACTAAATTAAACAGTTTATTTTTGATTTACTTAAATACAGAAAGAGAAAGACATGGTGCTCATACAGGTAACTGAAATTGAAAACTAAGCAACTAACTTCATTTTACAGAAAGTTACTTTCAACATTTTTACTCATCACTGACAACACTGGACCAAACATTATTAAGGTTATATAAAAGTAAAATAGATCAAATGTGGATTATAAGAAACTATCAATTATATAACTTAAGTGCTGTCATTAGAAGTGTAAATTCACATGTACATCTACATCTACTCCAGAAATATGTTGCTCTCTCTGTCACAGTGTTAAACTGGTTCAGTCCCTAACTGTCAGGAAGAGATGATGTAGTCTCACTTGGTTAACAGTCATCTGCTACTATCAACAATAATCCCACAAGGCTTCATCCTAGGTCCTCTTTTGTTCAGACTTTACATGCTGCTATTGTTTGATACTGCAATCTATGGTCTATTTAAATCACTCTATATCTTTTCAAAATATGCAGAATCATTTAACATGTATATCTCCAAGTGGTCCCAAAATCCAGACAGACATTCTTAGATATTAGATATCACATTTTCTGAATGGCGTCCAGAATGTGTGCGTCTGCAGTGAAATATCTTACTGTAGTAAGATGGAAAGTAGAATTTCATACTGTACGCACAACATTTACTACTACTAAAAATATCTGATCAAACATTTACACCACCATGCAATGTGCTCCCTCAACCACATATCACTCCTGTTGTCCAAAGCCTCCACTGTGTCATTGTCCCACAACAGATCCAATTTAAAGTCCTTCTCCTCACTCACAAAGCCCTCTATAACCAGGCCCCCTCCTACCTCACTGACCTGCTCCACTGCCGCACTCTGTCACAAAGCCTCCGCTCTTCTGATGCCAACCTCCTGTCTCCACCACCCAGGACCAAGCATCCAAACCAAGCCTTCTCCATAGCTGCACCCCAACTCCATCCTCAAACACATCAGAGACTGTACCGATTCATCCACATTAAAATCACTAATCAAAACCAGTCTTTTCAGAATTGCTTCAATGTGTGATTGTATTTTTTTGCTGGTTGTTTGATGATCTTTTTAACCTATGTATTTTAACTTATGTGAAGTGTCTTTGAGTACATGAAAATATATATATGTACTTATAAATAAAATGTAATATTATTATTATTATTATTAGGAAGTTGTCATTATTGGAAGAACTTATAATCTCTGTACTAAATATCAAACACAGTTCTCTGACATCCTTAATGTACTACATATCCAAACATTGCTTCATATAATCTATTCTGTCTCAAAAACAATCAGCATTGTTTGGTTACAAACCTTTTAGATACTTGTAAAGATAGTTAAAGTAGTGCTTCAAACCCATCTTAGCTGTGTTAAAGTTCAAAAACCTTTGCAGACTACTTATGACAAAATACTGTCCTTCAGTTTGTTCAGGATCATAAAAACTGTCTGAGGTTTGTGGATCAGTGTCTGAAGAATGTCTGTTTAAAGTTCAGAGGTTGAAGTTAATGAACGTCTCTTCTTTTGTGGACTACAGATGCAACTGCATTGATCTATGTCTGATCACATATTTTATGTTTTCAATATGTGAGTTTGTAATTTTCTTCCAGCTTTATGATCTTGATCTCTCTCTTGGGTCAGTTTTTCCAGATGGAGGTCAGGGTGACGTTTGCAGGAGAACAGGGGAACCAGGCTTCATCTTAAAAAACCTACATACATTTTATTGATCCACCTGTTGGTTCTGTGGAAATTAACAGAGGTGATTTGGAAATGATGCCAAATATAAGGGCTGTTAGATATATTGTGCTGTGAACATGTCTGGGTTGCTTCAGTGAACTGTATCAGTCTCTGCAGTAGCTTCCAGCTGCAGCAATCAGTTCAGTTTCTGTTCAGTCTGACTGAGGGAGGTTTTTGTACGACGCTTTTTCACTGTGTGAACAACCACTGACTGTTGATAGAATGATAACTCTTACAGTAGTAAACTCCTGTATCTTCAGCCTGGACTCCACTGATGGTCAGAGTGAAGTCAATTCCATTCCCTGCTCCACTTCCACTGAATCTGGAGGAGATTCCAGATTGTCTGTCTGATGTTCTGTAGATCAGAAGTTTAGGAGCTTCTCCAGTTTTCTGATGGTACCAGGCCAGGTAGTATTGTGCACCAGAGTACTGAGCAACTTGTCTACTGGCTTTACATTCAATAGAAACAGTTTGTCCTGGTTGGACTGATTTGGCTGCTGGCTGAGTCACAACAACATTCTGTCCAACAGACCCTGAGGAGAGAGAAGAAACAATGGACATGAGATGGTGAGGTGAAACTCAGCTACACTCCAAATGATTTTCACAGCACAGAAAACTGATTTTCCTCACCCTGAGTGAAGCAGAGGAGAGTCCAGATGAGGACGGAGATCAAAGTCATGTTTTTGATGAGGAGGATTTCTGTGTCTTCTGTTGTCATGAAGGACAGCTGTCAGTCATCCAGTGTTCAACTCTCAGGACTATAAACTCTCCCAGAGCACTGGAGCATGGTGCTGCTGATGCAAAGTGGCTCTCTATGGAAATGCTCTGACTGACTCCAACAGGGACTTGGATTACTCTGATGATGCTGTTTCTCAATGGATCAATCACTTTATCAGAGTATTGATTAACAATGTATCAGTGATCATTTTAATGTGGAATGGGCTTGATGACTGCACAATGATTTTCTTTCAGAACGTCTTCTGTCTGCTTTAATTTAATGCTAGAGAGATCAATGTTACTTTCAGACATATGGAACAATAAATATGTAAAAATGTGATTCATTCTGAACAATTGTGGCACTGTTTGATAAATAGAACATGAAATAGTTCATTCTTTTAAAAACAGGAACTGTTGATGTTGACTTTGTTGTGTTCAAAGTCAGAGAGCCGTGTCTCTCTACAGTGAGAGGTTTTTGTACGACGACTCAATCAGTTTGTATCACTGTGGTGGACTTTTGGTGGAGGAACCAGACTGGAGGTTGGAAGTAAGTTTCTGCTCAAATATTAAATATCATATCATCAGTTAATGTTTTAATTTCTGTGTCTGAACATTTGTAGTAGATATAAATTTCCACTGGGCTGATCTAAATCACTTTAAAGACTCAATTTTATTGTTGGTTTAACCTTAAAGTTGAACTCAAAGCAGCTTTACTGAACTGTTCTTTAAATGTTCCAGTTAATTAGTGAAATGTGAACAGCTTGAACTGCAGGAAAGATTAAAGAACAACACTCGTACTGTACAAAGGTTTTTAAAATTCAGTCTTTTATTCTGCATTTTTAACTGCAGTTAAAATAACATTTAATAGTGTGAATGATAAATGTTAGGAATGATTCCAAATGTCTGATCTTCTAAAATGGCACAAATTGTGTTTTAACCTCAGTTAGAAATAACACTGACACTTTTCTGAAGCTTTTTGTGTTTTTCAGTCCGTCTGTTTAACAATTCAACTGTGGTTGTCAATTAGTTTTAGCTGATAATTGATATTCAAAGTCTATTTTTATGGGTTTTTTCAAATAGTCTAAAATAAAATCCCACCAAAGACATGTTTTAATGTTGATATTTATAATGTGCTTCTGTTATTTGCAGTGTAGTTTGATATATTTCAGGTCATATGAGGACTGTGTCTGTGCTGATGTGCATGAGAGGTTTCTTAAAGGGAAGTGAAACAATGTGTGAGTGAGTGACTGCTGGAGCAGAAAAACCATCTGACAGAAACTCCTTAAAGGAGAAAATCAACTCTCACGCAGTAAAGGTGTCCAAGTGGCTGCTGGTTGATTGACAGCTGTGTGGTCCCTGTCCTCTAAGCTGATTGGTGTCTCCTAGGTGATGTCCGTCCCACCCTGACGGTGCTGGCCCCCTCCAGTGAGGAGCTGCAGCAGGGGAAGGCCACGCTCATGTGCCTGGCCAACAAGGGCTTCCCCCTCAGACTGGAGTCTGTCCTGGAAGGTGGACGGCAGCAGCAGCAGCAGCAGCAGCAGCTGGGAGCAGAGCAGGAGCCCCGGGGTGCTGAAGGACGGCCACTACAGCTGGAGCAGCACCCTGAGGCTCTCTGCAGACCAGTGGAGGAAGGTGGGCTCTGTGACCTGTGAGGCCACCCAGGGCTCCCAGACTCCGCTCTCAGAGACACTGAGGAGAGACCAGTGTTCCCAGTCCTGACCTGACTCACTGGGACTCTGATACTGGTTTTACTCTGCTACTGCTCTCACTGTGCACTCTGTAACTATCTCTCTCTTTCATTTGACATGTTTCAGTCAGAATATTTACTAGCTTGCTGCAGTGTTTCAATATTATTTCACTGTTTCCAGATAATAAAGACGTGTTCATCAAATCAGTTGTTTTCAACTTTATTATTATCAAAGTGTCTTAATGATTTTCTCTTCATGGTGTCAGTGACTGGATTAAATCCAGAGAAAAACTGAGCTGAGAAAGTTTTTTTCAACTTCTCCAGAATGTTTAAGATAACATAATGTACAGCCATATATACTGTATATCAAAATAGTTTATACACTCCGACAAAACTCCTCATTATTGTTTGATTAGTACAAACTAGTGATGGTCGTAGTATAAGTCCATAATATGTTGTCATAATCAATATGAATACCTTCATCGCTGTACAACTGTTTCTGATATAATCATTACAGATTTGTCTTCAATAATAAACCTTTGGAACAATGTAGGAACATTTCAACAATAAATCATTCAATCATCTCTTCTGAAAAAGAGTCTTAATAGTAAGCTTTGTAATATTGTAATTGCTTTAGGTGTATCTAAAGGACACAAATTATTCTTTGAATAAAACCAAATAAGTTAAAAAATAAACTCTTAATCTGATATAAAAAGTACAATATCGTCACCATAAGGACAAACATCATAAATGTGATCTGTTGTTCTACCCCTTCAGCTATTTACATACTGCTTCTGCTGAAGAACCATAAACACAAATAAAAGAGTTGATAAAAAGACAAAATTAACTGATTAGATTGACAATACAATTGATTACATACTTCATTTATCTCTTTTTTTTGGTTTTAGTTATAAAACACATTTGTTTATGTTTGCTAGAATACAAAACACACAAAATTACTAAAATATGTTATTAACATTTGTAGTGATTTGTAATTTAATTCAACAATGAGTATGTTTGACTATGAATGTTAAGATATAAAATGAATATATAATATTTATAGTTTTAGTGATGGATTTCACATATTAATGAATTGAAATCATACTTCGAGAGAGGTTACCACTGAAGTGCAGCAGACTGTTTCACACCCTGTTTTCATGAAAGCATTAAAAATATGACTTTTTAAATACTGAATATTTAGTGGCAAAATGTTCAAAGCCAATCATTATTAATGATGGGGTTTTTTTTGTGAAACCTCTGTTGTTTTAGTGTCAGTGCAGCTGTTGAGTCAGATCAGTTCCTCTCCAGCTGAGGGAGGTTTTTGTACGACGTTGTATCACTGTGTGAACGGGAAGCTGTTACCCTGCTGACAGTAGTAAACTCCTGAATCTTCAGCCTGAACTCCACTGATGGTCAGAGTGAAGTCAGAACCAGATCCACTTCCACTGAAACGACTTGAAACTCCAGACTGACGAGTTGTAGCTGAATAAATCAGGAGATTAGGAACTTCTCCAGGTTTCTGAAAGTACCAGCTGAGGTAGCTACTAACACTTGAACTGGTTTTACATCTGATAGAGACAGTCTGTCCTGGAACAACAGACTGAGATCCAGGAGACTGAGTCAGGGTGATTTGTCCTGATGAACCTGAAAACATGAAACAGAGGAGAAGGGTTATTGAGACAAATCCAGCTTGGAGAAAGATGATCAACATCCAAACAGAAGAGTATCATTTCTTTAACATGGAGAATAGATGGAAGAAGGTAAATGCTGCTTGTTTCACTGTTTCTCCATCATAGCAGAACATCACTGTGGTGAACCTGGTTGCATCCTGAAGCAAAGTTTTCAGAAGAGAGTCTCACCCTGAACAAGGAGCCCCAGGGTGGCCAGCAGTAGAGTCAGTGACATCATCATTGTGCTGCCGGCGTGTCAGTGGCTCTGAAAGGCCTGGACAGCCACTGATCAACACTGGCCTCTTAAAGGCTGGGAGCAGAGAGGAAGGACACATATGCAAACACACAGAGTCAGTGAACTGTAGCTGTCCTCAACATATCATGCTGTTTCCTCCTCACTGCTGGGAGTACTGACTGTTTAAATCATCCTCATGCTGATTCACAGAAACTCACAATGCTGTATAATAATTTCATACTAATCTAAAACTAAATTAAACAGTTTATTTTTGATTTACTTAAATACAGAAAGAGAAAGACATGGTGCTCATACAGGTAACTGAAATTGAAAACTAAGCAACTAACTTCATTTTACAGAAAGTTACTTTCAACATTTTTACTCATCACTGACAACACTGGACCAAACATTATTAAGGTTATATAAAAGTAAAATAGATCAAATGTGGATTATAAGAAACTATCAATTATATAACTTAAGTGCTGTCATTAGAAGTGTAAATTCACATGTACATCTACATCAACTCCAGAAATATGTTGCTCTCTCTGTCACAGTGTTAAACTGGTTCAGTCCCTAACTGTCAGGAAGAGATGATGTAGTCTCACTTGGTTAACAGTCATCTGCTACTATCAACTATAATCCCACAAGGCTTCATCCTAGGTCCTCTTTTGTTCAGACTTTACATGCTGCTATTGTTTGATACTGCAATCTATGGTCTATTTAAATCACTCTATATCTTTTCAAAATATGCAGAATCAGTTAACATGTATATCTCCAAGTGCTCCCAAAATCCAGACAGACATTCTTAGATATTAGATATCACATTTTCTGAATGGCGTCCAGATTGTGTGCGTCTGCAGTGAAATATCTTACTGTAGTAAGATGGAAAGTAGAATTTCATACTGTACGCACAACATTTACTACTACTAAAAATATCTGATCAAACATTTACACCACCATGCAATGTGCTCCCTCAACCACATATCACTCCTGTTGTCCAAAGCCTCCACTGTGTCATTGTCCCACAACAGATCCAATTTAAAGTCCTTCTCCTCACTCACAAAGCCCTCTATAACCAGGCCCCCTCCTACCTCACTGACCTGCTCCACTGCCGCACTCTGTCACAAAGCCTCCGCTCTTCTGATGCCAACCTCCTGTCTCCACCACCCAGGACCAAGCATCCAAACCAAGCCTTCTCCATAGCTGCACCCCAACTCAATCCTCAAACACATCAGAGACTGTACCGATTCATCCACATTAAAATCACTAATCAAAACCAGTCTTTTCAGAATTGCTTCAATGTGTGATTGTATTTTTTTGCTGGTTGTTTGATGATCTTTTTAACCTATGTATTTTAACTTATGTGAAGTGTCTTTGAGTACATGAAAATATATATATGTACTTATAAATAAAATGTAATATTATTATTATTATTATTAGGAAGTTGTCATTATTGGAAGAACTTATAATCTCTGTACTAAATATCAAACACAGTTCTCTGACATCCTTAATGTACTACATATCCAAACATTGCTTCATATAATCTATTCTGTCTCAAAAACAATCAGCATTGTTTGGTTACAAACCTTTTAGATACTTGTAAAGATAGTTAAAGTAGTGCTTCAAACCCATCTTAGCTGTGTTAAAGTTCAAAAACCTTTGCAGACTACTTATGACAAAATACTGTCCTTCAGTTTGTTCAGGATCAGAAAAACTGTCTGAGGTTTGTGGATCAGTGTCTGAAGAATGTCTGTTTAAAGTTCAGAGGTTGAAGTTAATGAACGTCTCTTCTTTTGTGGACTACAGATGCAACTGCATTGATCTATGTCTGATCACATATTTTATGTTTTCAATATGTGAGTTTGTAATTTTCTTCCAGCTTTATGATCTTGATCTCTCTCTTGTGTCAGTTTTTCCAGATGAAGGTCAGGGTGACGTTTGCAGGAGAACAGGGGAACCAGGCTTCATCTTAAAAAACCTACATACATTTTATTGATCCACCTGTTGGTTCTGTGGAAATTAACAGAGGTGATTTGGAAATGATGCCAAATATAAGGGCTGTTAGATATATTGTGCTGTGAACATGTCTGGGTTGCTTCAGTGAACTGTATCAGTCTCTGCAGTAGCTTCCAGCTGCAGCAATCAGTTCAGTTTCTGTTCAGTCTGACTGAGGGAGGTTTTTGTACGACGCTTTTTCACTGTGTGAACAACCACTGACTGTTGATAGAATGATAACTCTTACAGTAGTAAACTCCTGTATCTTCAGCCTGGACTCCACTGATGGTCAGAGTGAAGTCAATTCCATTCCCTGCTCCACTTCCACTGAATCTGGAGGAGATTCCAGATTGTCTGTCTGATGTTCTGTAGATCAGAAGTTTAGGAGCTTCTCCAGTTTTCTGATGGTACCAGGCCAGGTAGTATTGTGCACCAGAGTACTGAGCAACTTGTCTACTGGCTTTACATTCAATAGAAACAGTTTGTCCTGGTTGGACTGATTTGGCTGCTGGCTGAGTCACAACAACATTCTGTCCAACAGACCCTGAGGAGAGAGAAGAAACAATGGACATGAGATGGTGAGGTGAAACTCAGCTACACTCCAAATGATTTTCACAGCACAGAAAACTGATTTTCCTCACCCTGAGTGAAGCAGAGGAGAGTCCAGATGAGGACGGAGATCAAAGTCATGTTTTTGATGAGGAGGATTTCTGTGTCTTCTGTTGTCATGAAGGACAGCTGTCAGTCATCCAGTGTTCAACTCTCAGGACTATAAACTCTCCCAGAGCACTGGAGCATGGTGCTGCTGATGCAAAGTGGCTCTCTATGGAAATGCTCTGACTGACTCCAACAGGGACTTGGATTACTCTGATGATGCTGTTTCTCAATGGATCAATCACTTTATCAGAGTATTGATTAACAATGTATCAGTGATCATTTTAATGTGGAATGGGCTTGATGACTGCACAATGATTTTCTTTCAGAACGTCTTCTGTCTGCTTTAATTTAATGCTAGAGAGATCAATGTTACTTTCAGACATATGGAACAATAAATATGTAAAAATGTGATTCATTCTGAACAATTGTGGCACTGTTTGATAAATAGAACATGAAATAGTTCATTCTTTTAAGAACAGGAACTGTTGATGTTGACTTTGTTGTGTTCAAAGTCAGAGAGCCGTGTCTCTCTACAGTGAGAGGTTTTTGTACGACGACTCAATCAGTTTGTATCACTGTGGTACACGTTCGGTGGAGGAACCAGACTGGAGATTGGAA